CAAACAGCCAAAGGCAATCGTTAATTTTATTCTTTTTTTTTTTTTTTAATTTTCCCTGTCAGGTATTCAGCAATTGAGTCTATTGAACTTTGAAACATTTAAGGGTGTCGGCCTAAGTCTCTAAACACAGCAGGAAGGATCCCATACCACAGGCTCGGACATTTCTGAGGAGAGGAGCCCAGGGTGGCAGGGAGAGGCAAAAACGCTGCTTGCCCCCAGCCAAATCTCCTGACCCAACCACACAGTCGCAAGAAGAGCGTGTTCAGTTGTTTTAGTAAACCAAGAGCAGTGAAAGAAACACTTGGGAATTTACTTGGACACAAGGTTTTCCTTACTGAAGAGAATCTCCAAAGCAATGCAGGACAATGACTCTTTCTGGACACCATGTGATTATGTCTCTTTAGGAAAATGCTCCTTGCAGGGACACTTACTTGTTCTCTGCCCAGAGTCATCTGCACTGAGCCTCCGTTGTTAGCTTTGGTTTTCAGAGACCTCCTATCCAGAGGGATCTTCACAGAGGATTTACCAAAGGCTTCCCTGCTGCTTGGTCTGTGTGTTCTGTTACCACACTTGCATTTTGTATGTGGTGCCAAAAGCTTACTTCTCTGGAGTACGGGTCAAATTGCTCCTTCAAAAATGAAAGTGAGAGGGAGAGAGAGAGGGAGAGAGAGGGGGAGAGAGAGAGAGAGGCCACAGCAATCTTAGAATTGAGGCCGGGCTTTGTGATTTATAAGATACCTCTCCAGGGGTGAAGAGGTGTGGTTTCTGGACATCAACAGGCAGAGCTCACCTTAAATGACACAGGACTCCACACGTGTCTTGTGGAACATTGGCAACAGAAGAATCGAGCTTGTCATGGATGACACTATTAGAGAGAATATTTCAAACTGAGTTGAATCTTGGTGCCCGATCATTTAAGTAGGAATGGCCCAGAGAATCTACTTTGCACGTGTCCTGACCAACTCAGAGATAATGGAATACAAATATTTAAATTAAGAATCTAGGTTCCTTGGTGTCTATTTAAACTCCCCGAAATCGTCTAAGTTGATGCAGTTTGGCCTTGATGGGGGATAGGGGTTCTGAGACAATATCAGCAGAGTTTTCTTTTTTGTCCAAGCTGTATAGTGCTTGCTTTGCCCGGGTCTCCATGGATATTAGACCATTCACCCTACTGAAAGTCCCAATAAAACACAGAATGTAATTCTGTTGGGGTAAAAAAAAAAGAATTAAAAAAAGGGTGGCTGACAGCAGGCCTGGTCAAACCTTTTATCAAGGTCACTCAGCCACCAGTGTCTCAGAGGGATTTCCAAGCCAAAAGCAATTCCTTTGTGTTTGTTTTACAATAATAATGGTATTTCCTCAACTCCCCAGAAAATATGTTGTTTTCACAGTGACCAGCTCCATCAAATGCCATGGACAAGCACAAGTTGGACCTAAACTATACATCATTTTTTTTCTTACCAGCCTTGTTCCCTGGATAATTCCCTTTAGTTTACATTGCTCATTGCGTCAGTTAAAATTCATGTTTATTTTCACTCAGGAAAAAAGAAGTCTGGAGATACACAATCTAAACCTCAGTCTTCCCTTGCTTTCTGTCTCCCCTTGTAGGAGGCATCCTTGATTTGCGTTCCCACAAGGTCAACTATCGAGTCTGAGGTCTAGATGCAGGCAAAGATGAGTACTGAGAGAGTAAAAGGCATGTGTCCACGAAGCCAGCCCCTATAAAAGCGCTTTCATAAGGGCCTCACCCAGAGATTCCTGCTGACATTGCAGGGGTCAGAACTGTGCCAATTAACTCCCATCCCCAGCTGCATGGACACTGGGAAACACAATTGCACTTTTTTTTTTCTTCCTTCACCTGAGCTCATTGCTGTCCCAGTTAGGAATTTGTTAGGAAGAAATCGAGAATTGCATAGTTGATGAAATGAAAATTTAAAATGTTCACCTTACTGTGTTGCTGTGGGCATGAAATATATCTGGATAAAGCACTTGACAGTGCTTAATAAACTGGTGACACATGAGAATCAGATTTTCTTACTCCTCCAGGACCCTGTTCACAGATTAGAGCTATACCTTGATGTCACATTTTTTTTCTATCCAATTAACTTCATGAAATAATGCCATGTCTAGGGAGAAAGAAAAATATCTATTCTATTGCTCAGCATTGACAGAACATTTGAAACTAGAAATGTGATTCTGCAGAGTCTTCTTGCAGTGCTTACAGAAGCAACTCATTGTTATTTCAGATATACCTGTTCTACATGCTGTTAAAAACCCATAAAAATGGTTTACGATGCTGCCTATGGTCTATCTATGTGAGGCGAGCCGGGCTCGGTGGCTCAGCCTGTAATCCCACACCTTTGGGAGGCTGAGGTGAGTGGATTGCCTGAGCCCGCGGGTTCGAGACCCGCCTGGACAACTTGCCGAGACCTCATCTCTACAATAAATCAAAAATTAGCCGGGCGTGGTAGCGCCCGCCTGTAGTTCCAGCTACTTGGAAGGCTGAGGCGGAAGGATCACCGGAACCCAGCAGGTCAAAGCTGCGGTGGCCAGGAGCGGCCACTGCACTCCAGTCTGGGCGACCGAGTGAGACTCCAACTCAAAAGAAAAAAAAAAAAGAGGCGACATTTTCATTTTTGATGTATTGTACCCGATGCTGACCCACTGGGAATAGAAGTATATGCACACACTTTTTCTTTACTTTGAGATCCTTATTATTCAAGGACTCATTAAGGGTGTTATCGTATGTTGTAAATCTACACAGAACATTAGAGATGACTACTACATGGAAAGGCTGATTTTGCATTCTGCTCTGAGTGCGAAGATTTTACTGTAGAGGCACATAGCACAACAAAATGTGCTTAACTGCATGCTGAGGCCCCTTCTGATATTGATAAGGCGAGCATCAGGAATGGCTGATCAGGTCCAGGAAGCAAAACAAAGTGAAATGAAACTAGGTGTGGGTAAAGCAAGCTAAATTTTTTTTTAAAGCTTTTTGTTTGTTGTCATGGTAGTTGTTTGCTACTTAGGAGATTGTAGTACTCTAATTTAGCCAAGTAATCGCTGCTCTAAATTCCAAATCTACGGTGTTTGTGTGATTTGAAGAAACAGAGCTTGCATTCCTGAAGCAAGACAGGAAAAAAGTCCATTATTTGGATCTCTAATGATAAGCTTCAGAACAGTCTTGCAACTTGTGACCTGAACAAATCTCTTACTCATGAAACAATAAATATAAAAGATTGGCACATGTGCATTTAAAGAGTAACTTTATTGCTCCTAGACAAAAAAGGGGGGGAGGAGAGAATAGAGGAAAGAAAGAAAAGAAAAGAAGAAGAAGGAAGGAAGGAGAAAAAGGAGAAAATGAAAAAAGAAAGAAAAGTATTTTCCATACTTATTTTCCATACTTATATATTTCACTTTTATTTGTAATCTTGGACTATGTTATTCAGTTCAGTTTACTTCTGTGATTTAATTTAATTGGAGAGAGGGCGAATGAGAGATTTTTTCCAGAAAAAACAAAAACAGTGTGTGTGTGTATATATATGTGTGTATATATATATGTGTGTATATATATATATATATATATATATAATAAGCAAATAAAAATGTGGCACATATCACCAGCTCGGCAACTATGTAAAACAAAGACGAAACTCATAATTCTGAACATAGGTAACAATGCTTCGATTTATAAAGCTTAAAGTGACTCCTTCCGCATAGGTGAGTAGATGGGTGCTTAAAGTAATCATGATTAACATCTTTTAACATGGAAATCGAATATACAAATTTATCTCATGTTCTAAAAATTTAAGCAATGCCATTGCACTCAGATTATCCACTTGTGCATTAAAATCACTTTAATTGTGATTTCACAAAATCATCCATTTAAATGATTGTTTCAAGTTCATTGAAAGAGGTTCTTGAAATCCATAACTCAAGTCCTTTATGTCTTGTAAGTTGACCAAAACAGGAAGCATACATCACTGCTTCTGGGCACAAATAAACACCTCCCCTCGCCCCCACCCTCTCCTCCAAAAGATTCTGTCCTTCATGTCGGAGCTGAAGCTGCAGTTTTTCAGGACGCAGGCAAGTCATTTGTTCCCTTGATGGGTCTGAGGATGTTTATCACTGCTAACCATCCCCTCATCCCATCTGTATGATCCTGTCCCTTTATCATGTCCTTGAAGAAGGTGGGAGGTGGGTATAGGAACTCCCCCTGTCAGAGAACCTAGAAAGGTCATGGTTGCCTTATTTCTGTTCTCTGTTGGAGTCAACCAGTGCATTTAAGAGGGAAACACTTCTCTACATAAAGATATCAACTTTTCTTCTGCCTCTTCAGTTAGAGAAAAAAAAAATAGCTTCGAGCACTCACTGATCACCACCTGAGCAAGTGGCGGTGAAACTGGTGGCACTGTCAATTGCTTACGGTCACTACCTCTGCCTGCTGATCCCAAGACACCACGAGAAGCAAACAAAGACTTGCGCTGGCAAGCCTATTTCATAGTTACGTCTCAACATTGCGGATCCTGAATGCATATCTGGCATATCTTGGTTAAATGATATGATGCTTTTTATAGAAAATCCCTCATTATATTATCAAGTTGGATATATTTAAGCATGTATTCTTCATGCTGGCATACCTATCTATTTGTATTCATTCCAGCATCCAGCCTTTGTCACCCAGGACCAAATATTGCACCTCCGATTGCCGAAGCATGTACAGAAGATAATTAAAGGAGATAAATGTTTACCGAGTAGGCTTCTGAATAGCATTCCTAGTCCAAAAAAATTTTTCCCCAGCAGAAAAAATCCAATAACTGAGAACTATGGGATTTTTTTTAGGGCCTCTTTCACCAAGTTCAACCTGTTCTACTTGCCCAGCATCACCATAAACCGTAGCTCTAACAATGCGTAAAAACCATGTTTGCGACTACTCGCCTTAAGGCGACGGGCCGGAGGATAAAAGGATCGGGCGGCGGCCTCACAACGACCGTCTCAGGCTACATCTGGGACTCCACGGAGACCCTGCTGAAGGTCAGCAGAGCTTTCTGATACGGTGCTTCCTTGCTCGCGTGTGGGGCAGGACCGGCGGTCTCCTCGGGGTTTTCGCGGCTGCTGACGATGGCAACCGCGCTGAGCGAGCTCCCGCTGGCCGTGGCGTCCGGCGCGCCGGATCCTCGGCCCGGGGGCGCCTTCGCCAGGCCCTGGAGCTGTCGGTCCTTCCAGTCCAACTGTTTGGCACTGCAGAAGGGGGCGTAGACCTCGACACTCGCCTCGAACTGCACGCAGTTCACTTTGTAGCCGCCCCGCTTCACCTCCAGGACATCGTTGAACCGGTGGCCCCAGAGGATTTCCCGGGGCACGTAGGAGCTTCTGGACTGGTGCGACGTGCCCGTGGAGTCCCCGGTGTAGAGGAACGTCACCAGGATCTCAAAGTTGTCCCTGGCGACGGCCTTGCGGTCGAGGGCGTACAGGGGGCTCTCGGGGTCGATCTCGTGGACGATGGTGACCGGGGCGACCAGAATGATCTGGTCGTTGACCAGCTTGAGGTCCCGGAAGGCCACGGTGGCCCGGCCCTGGCCGTCCTCCGCGTAGCGCAGCAGCTGCGCGCGCACCGTGCCCTCCACCACGTGGTTGGGCCGGAAGTCGCCCAGGCGCCACAGCAGGCAGAGCTTCCCGTCGCGCATGCCCACGAGCGCGCAGGCGCTGAAGCGGATGGTCTGCGCCCGCTTCCGGGCGGTGGCCATCTTGGCCAGGGCGGCCCCCACGACGAGGGTGTTGACCACGCAGCTGAGGATGGCCTGCAGGACGACCCCCAGCACGGCCGCCGGGCACTCCTCCGTGACGCAGCGGTGGCCGTAGCCGATGGTGGTCTGGGTCTCCAGCGAGAACAGGAACGCGCCCGTGAAGGAGCGGACGTTGTCCACGCAGGGCGCGGCGTCCGCGTCCGCGTCCGCGCCCGCGTCCGCGTCGCCGCGCAGGTCGCCGTGCTGCAGCGCGAGGAGCCAGAAGACGGAGCCGAAGACCAGCCAGGAGAGGACGTAGGACAAGGAGAAGATGGCGAACATGTGGCGCCACTTGGCGTCCACCAGGGTGGTGAAAATGTCCACCACGTAGCTGCCCCACTCTCCGAGCATGTGCTTGAAGTGCACGTTGCAGCTGCCGTCCTTGTGCAGCAGGCGCCTGCTGGCGCGTCTCTTCTCGGCCAGGACGGGCTCCGGCGGGTACCCCGGGTAGCGGGCGCCCGCGCCCCCGTAGCTGCTGCCGTAGGAGCTCATTCTTGCCCTCGGGCGCGCCGGTGAGGGGGCCGTCGCGGCGACTCCGGGCGGGCTGCCGTTCCCCGGTCCGGGTTTTCGGGTGAAACCTGGGGGGGGGACATTGAAAACACTTGAGTTTTGCAAGTCCGTCCTCAGAGCCAGGTGCCAAATGGGGACCAGGGTCACATCATCTGAACTCTGCACTTGCGAGTTAGAGGCACTCCGTACCGATGGCTCATTTCAGTTTAGAATTCCACGCAGGCATTATAGGAGCACAATACGCAATCAGAGAAAATAACATCTTTATGGATGCGTAGGCTTGTGTAAACACTGTGATTATCCCGGGTGACACCTCACTACTTTTTCTGACCCGGCATGGAATACATTTGCTTGATTTCTGTAAAGTCTCCTTCTTGCCTGAAGGTGTTGAGTAAACAAAGCAATCTATAATACAAAAAGGCAAAAATATAATTCGCGATGTGTCTAGCAGCCTTATATGCTTTCTGTTTAAGTCAGGTGGTCCTCCTTTTTGTTTTTTTTGGTTGGTTTTTTTTTTGAGTTGGAGTCTCACTCGGTCGCCCAGACTGGAGTGCAGGGGCCGCTCCCGGCCCCCGCAGCCTCCACCTGCCGGGCTCCGGCGATCCTTCCGCCTCAGCCTTCCCAGTAGCCGGAATTACAGGCACGCGCTACCACGCCCGGCTGAGTTTTTGATTAATTGTAGAGATGCGGTCTCGCTGCCCGGGCGGGTCTCGAACCCGCGGGCTCAGGCAACCCACTCACCTCAGCCTCCCGAAGGCGCGGGATGACGGGCTGAGCCACCGAGCCCGGCTCAGGTGGTCCTTCTTAAAAGAAGGATGCAATAGTTTTCCCCTCCATATTATAATGTGACTTACAGACCGGTTGCTCTAAAAGATAATCCTTCAGCCCCTGGATCTTCCTCTCTCTTCCACAGAGGTTTTTCTTCTTTGCTTACTTCCCAGGACAGAACAGAACTGACAGGGCCACCTACTTCACGTTAAACTTCTTTTGCCTCAGCTCCACCTTTAGTCTAGAAAGAAAAAGAAAAAATCTTGCTTAACCTAGGGGAGTTAAAATCACTCCCAGGTAAGCTTTCAGAAAGGTGTAAAATTGCTTCTGCCTTTGTCTCATGACATCTATCTTTTCTTTCTTTCTTTTTTTCTTTTTGGACACTGGAGGCGCTTCTCTTCTCCTCTGAATAGAAGCCGAAAATTTGCCAAAGTTGCTAATCTCGTTTCCCTCTTAAAGGGAGCATGCTACAATTGTACCCTCCTCTCGGACTCTTCAGTGTTTTCCCGATATTCTCACTACCATCCCTGGGCAAAATCATTTTTCTCTTTCCAAATACAGTCTTGAAAACATCAAGGCAGGATATACGGTTCTTATCATTTTTAGTATCCGTGGTATTGGCTCATGGATTTCACAGATCGAGTCTGAAAGCAAAATTTAAAATGCAGTGCCAAAACCGCCTTTAGTCATTTCTGTGCAACAAACAGGAAAAGGAATGCAGCTGAAGATAGTGGTTTAGTAATTATTAGATTATGAGTTCTACACAGTTTACCTGTGCTAGATGGGATAAAGGACGTGTGACTGGGAAACTTTAGACTAAAGGACCCTGACACTGCTTCATAGAAAAAGCCGTAGGAGTAAATACTGTCTGTCCCTGACGTTCACGTTTCTTGGAACCAACCACAGAGACCCTTCACTGGATACTTATTCAGCACCTTCCTCACTACAAAGGGTCAGAGAGAGTTAATTTTTCTCTACTGAAGGAAGAATCATTTTTCTTTTCCTCCAGGGATCAGGCCCACCTTACAATAAACTCTTTGTTTAGTGGACCACTTACACAGATGGACTCTATCCAAATCTCCCGGAAGGTATGGATGGATTCCTCTCTGTCCCTCTGCCTGTCTAGTGGCCACTTTGCCCACCCGCCTCCAGATCTGTTACGAGCAGTGACATCTCCTTTGTTAGCACATCTGCCATGTTTTGGGGGAGACAAGTGTATAATTTCAGAATGTGACCCAGGGTTGCCCAATGCTCACTGGAATGTTGAATGTAAAATATTTCCAAAACTTTTTTCCGTAACATCCACCGTTTGTTGGAGGTTCCTGTCTGATCTGTCATTGAATGATACTTTACAGACAGAAGAAGCTGAGATAGGGTTCTCAGTCTCTGCTCGCTCACCTGATCATCTGAGGCATGAGAATGGGACAAATTATAATCAAAGGCCCATCTGATTTCAAATTAAAATGCAGATTCGGAGACAGAACTGCATTCTTGTTAAATGCTCCCAACCCAGTCTCTTCAAGGGAACTACACATATCGTGGGAGTCTCAAGATAGAGAATACAGTTCATAAATCAAGAGCTACTGTGTGACTCCACTCTTTCTGCTGCCAAAAAAAAAAAAAAGGTTTTTTTAATTTGAAATGGCATTCGGTTGGCATCATTTTGAATTCCAGTGGTGCCAAATTTTACAAACAAGCTTCCCTTAAAATACCTTCCAAAGTGAATGAAGTTTCAATTAATGCAAGTTACACGTGAGCAGATTTGATTATGTGGAATAGTTATTGCTGAATAATGTACCATTTTCAGAGAGACAGTTACAACCGTGAGAATACTGCCCCCAAATCATCACATCTCCTGATTTATAATTGTGATCATTAACTTCAAGTTATCCAGAGGCAAGCATTCAGATTCAGTTTAGGTTTATGGACTTTATTTATTGATTTTTTTGAATTTCCGAACATGTAAATGTTGCATTTTGAGAAAGACAGTTGTCTTTAACTGAAACGATCCTATCCAGTCTGACCTATTTAGCAGCCTGCACAATGAGCAGAGAAGTTTATGGAGGCCCTTTTGGCAAAATGACTAGATAAAATACATAAATATTATCTTCTCATTTAGTAAATTGTGTTAACTTGAGCACTTTTCCAACTGCTTGCCTTTAAATTGTAGAGGATAGTGCTTGTTGATTGACAGGAATTTTTCTATGTAACATTTGTGTTTCTTAGGATTAAAGCCTGTCCTTAAAAAGTGCCTTGATGCTTTTATAAAACCATTTTGTCACCATGTAGTCCACCATGGGAAAGCATTTGTAATGTCCCTACTTCTCTGTGTTCTTTTGCATTCTGCTCTTTAGTAACTGACAGTGGCTATTTTTCATTGGTTTCATTGTTTTAAAAAAATTGAAGTGGCAATTGGAACAACTATAATTATAAAACGGTGGAATATAAAGTTCACAGGTAAACATTGAATTGGGTGAGGTCTATTTTGCCAGGTAATTCGTGCCAAAGGTAAGAAAAACAAAGCGATTCCTTTGCCATAATAAGGAGTCATTTTATAGATAAAGCTGGAGTGCAGAGGCAGGACACGGGACTGCAGGTCACTTCTTCAGTATGCCATCAGAGTTCATGAACATATTCAAAGACTCTTGGGAAAGCACGGAGAGTTCCCTCGCTTACATCCCACCATGGGGAGGATTTAAAGGCCAGTTAGAGAGGTCAGCAAAGCCAGTCCTGATAGCCGCTTTACCTATATCTTGCTCATTGTGTTAAGTTCAGACACATGCACACACAATGTCACTGAATCTACTTTGACTAGTAGAATCTGCTTTTTGGCCTCAGTTTTCTAGATCTTTGCATGCATTCAAGGAGAAACGTTTACTAATTTAGCACACTTCAAGTGGGCTACAAACACAGCAGGGAACATTTTCAACACAATGAATGAACATGCACATATTCATGACTGTTTCTCAGACGGGAAAGTGCCTCTGTCAGATTTCTCAATTTTGAAGCAATTCCTCTGCCACTTTGCCACATTCTCTCAAGTTCAAATTCAGCTATTTACCAGATAAACTACTCTCATAGACTGTTCTTCAAAGGTAAACATTTTCCTTAACACAGTAGTCAAAATCGTATAATCCTGTCACATTGATGACATCCGATCTTGTCTCTAGTGTCTACTTAGCATAATATATTAATATTAATTGTCTACCTGCCTGCTTTGAGATATACTGCAACGAAAGCATCTAAAGTTTCTTCAGTAAAATCCAGTTATGAATGTCTATGGCCTTTGAGGTTAACAAGTGCCCTCTTTTACATGAAAGGGACATGAGGTAGTTAACACACGAAGTCATCAGTACTTGAGTTACTTTCCTGGCAACTATTAAATGAGATAAGTTTTGGTGGAAATGTGAGAGCCTATGTGGTAGGGAGTAGAAAGGATGACCTAATTCTCCGTGCAGATCATTGCCCTTGAAGACAGTCTTGGGTAGAGTTCTCAGGGGAAGGGGAGGGGGCACCACAGGGCAGGTGAAGAGTAGGTCAGTCGCCAGGCTCAGT